GTATCTCTGTGCATTCAAAATGCAATCAATAAAATGCACCTGTGTCCGTTGGCCATAACACACGCCTGCCCATAACATAACCCCACCGCCACGGCTTATGGTAGAGAAATGAACATTCAATTCATGGGCAACAGCTCTGGTGGACATTCCTGAAGTCTGCATGCCAATTGCACGCTCCCTCAAAACTTGCAACATCTGTGGCATTGTGCTGTGTGATGGAACTGCACATTATCGATTGGCCTTTTATTGTGGCCAGCCTAAGGCACACCTGTCCTGTCTGATCAGCATCTTAATATGCCACACCTGTGGGGTGGATGGATTATATCGGATATCGGATATAAGGAGAAGTGCTCACTGCCACAGATTTTGACAGATTTGTGAACAATATTTGAGAGAAAGTCTTAGATCTTGGAGTTCAAAGAGGTCAAAAACAAAAGTGTTGCGTTTATAATTTTGTTCAGTGTATGTAATTGCATCACAGTATGTCTGTGGCATTTATTTAATGCAATTTCTTGTTAATTATCTGCCACTATATTGGACCATATACCGATACATCCGTAATAACCTAATCTCACCCCGATTAATTTATCAGTCAAGCTCTAGCAACACAGCCCGGGGAGTGGGTGTGTATTTGCCTGGTAATCGGAGTGAATTGCCATTTTGTTTTATTTCATTATCAAGTCTGAAGTGTTCTTGTTAGCCATGATTTGGCAGTGTGGTATAGATTGGTTATGGCAGAATACATTTTCAGACATAACAGAAAATCTGCCATTGCTAGGAAGAGTTGATTTAACATTTGTCATGTTAAGCAAAGGAATATGGCAATTTAAGAGTTGGTATTTCTGTAAGTCAATATTGAACTACATGTAAAGCTGTCAATCAATCTCTTATGCACCCAACCCAACCTACAAACCTCTGTCATGCTTGGCAGTTTTTCTTACCAGGGAAACTTAATTGATGAAAAAACTGGAGATATGTGTGTGTGTGTGTGTGTGAGAGAGAGAGTGTGTTTGTGTGTGTGCGCAGTTGTCTCCTTTTTCAGTATGTGAATGTTTGTCTGGCTCTATTTTGTGTGACTGTGTCTCAGTTTGTCTGATTGTGTGAGCTAGTTTATGTGTACTCCGCCTGTGTGTGTGTTTGTCAAACAGACAGTGGTCCACACAAATCCAACCACTCCGGCTCCACAGCTGCTCTGTCTCTGTCGGATCTTGTCAGCAGCACAGCAGCAGCTCTGCCTGTCTGGTTGCTGACTTTCTGCCCGTGATGTTGCCAGATCCAGGGTGGTCCACCCCACGGCACTCATCCCACCCTGTCTGCCCTTGTTGTCAGGGGGGTTATGCAGATTTAGGAGCACTACCTCACTCCTTCCCTCCCCCTCCTCCTCAATCAAATGAAATCAATGAAATGGCCCGTTCCATCGGCCAATCCATGGCGGCTTTGGTGGCTACGGAGCGCCATCTCAATCTCTCGGGCATCCAGGGGAAGGAGAAGGCTTTTCTCCTGGATGCGCCCCTCTCGCCTACTGGCCTGTTTGGCGAAGCAGTGGATGCTGTCGTCAACAGGTTCCAGGAAGGGGCTGGTCCCCTTGGCGAATTTCGCGGAATCTTGGCGGAACCTCGCAAACATTTCCCCGTGGGTCCTGCGCACAGTAGTGGATGGCTACAGGCTGCAGTTCCGGGTTCGACCCCCAGATTCTGCGGGATGGTCGGGACTGCAGTACACGCAGAACAGAGACAGGTGTTGTGACAGGAAGTCCTACAGCCGATACTTCCTGGTTCCCAAGAAGGACGGAGGATTGCGTACGATTTTCCGTTCGGCCTAGCACTCTCTCCCCGCACATTCACCAAATGCATGGATGCAGCTCTGGCCCCGTTGAGGCTCCAGGGCATCCGCATACTGGACTACATCGACGACTGGCTCGTTCTGGCCCAGTCTCGAAAGTTAGCGGTTCGGCATCGAGATGTCGTCCTCGCCCACCTTCAGCGTTTGGGGCTGCGGCTCAACGCGAAGAAGAGCGTGCTGACGCCCGCCCAACGGACTACGTTCCTAGGGGTGTTGTGGGACTCAACGACGATGCAGGCCCACTTGTCTCCCGCACGCTTCAAGTCCGTTTTGTCCACAGTGACCAGAGTGCAGTTAGGTCGCGCCATCACTGTAAAACACTTTCAGAGGGTGTTTGGTCTCCTGGCAGCCGCGTCCAGTATAATACCTTCCGGACTACTGCACATGAGAGCCCTGCAGTGGTGGCTAAAATCCAAGGGATTCTCACTAAGGGGAAATCCGCTCCGTCTGATACGGGTTACGAGTGGGTGCCTTCGTTCCCTGTCTGTATGGAGGAAATCTTGGTTCCTGTCCCAAGGTCCCGTGTTGGGAGTGATCTGTCGCCGAACAATTATTTCGACAGACGCCTCACTCACGAGATGGGGCTCCTGGGAGGAGCATCATTTTTCCTGGCACATAAATTGCCTGGAAATGTTGGCGGTTTTCAGAGCTCAGGAGTTTTCTGCCCGCCCTCCGTGGTCGCCACATCCTTGTCAGAACCGACAATACGCCAGTGGTGGCCTATTTGAATCACCAGGGTCTGCGTTCGCGCCCGTTATGCAAACTGGCACAGCAGATCCTCCTGTGTTCCCAGCAGAGACTGCTGTCCCTCAGAGCGATGTACGTCCCTGGGACCCAGAATCAAGGAGCAGACCTGCTGCACCCCGAGGTGGTGGAGTTATTATGGGAAGAGTTCGGCCCCATAGACGTGGACTTGTTTGCATCCCGAGAGACGGCGCACTCTCCCCTGTGGTTCTCCCTGTTGCCCCCAGCCCCGCTAGGGCTGACAGTGGTTCTCGAAGCGCTGGCTGAGGCCCCCTTCGAACCCCTGGAGTCGGCTGAGGCCAAGCACCTGACCCTTAAGATGACCTTTCTCCTCGCTATCACCTCCCTGAGGAGGGTGGGGGATCTCCAGGCACTTTCGATTTCTCCCCGATGCCTGGAGTTTGCCGGGAGGGTCAGGGCCATCCTGCACCCTTGTCCAGGTTATGTCCCTAAGGTTCCGGCCAGACTGGCAGGGTCCACGGTGATGCAGGTGTTTCATCCCCCACCTCATGTGACGGCGGAGGACGGAAGACTTCATCTGCTCTGCCCGGGCAGAGCACTGAGTATTTACACTCTGAGGTCTTCCCGGTGGAGGAAAGCAGACCAGTTGCTGGTGTGTTTCGGGTCCCCCAAGGCTGGGCACCCTGCTTCTAAACACACCATCAGCAACTGGATCGTTCAGACTATTTTCCTGGCCTATCAGGTGCGCGGTTTGCCTTCACCTATGGCCGTAAGGGCGCACTCTACTCGAGGCATGGCGGCTTCTAGGGCCCTCCTCGCAGGGGCATCACTCCAGGATTTGTGTGACGCGGCTGGCTGGGCCACCCCTCACACTTTCATCCGGTTTTACAGTCTGGACCTTCCTTCTGCACCCGGCACCCGTGTGCTCTCCTCCTAGTCGTGCCGTCAGGTTTTGCACGCTGGGGGCAGGCGGGGTTTTGGCGCGGCCTAAGTGGGTATCTCGTTCCCATAGTGTCGTCACCAACGCAGTTCGAGTTCCCTCGAAGGGGAACGTCTCGGGTTATGTATGTAACCCTTGTTCCCCGAGAAGGGGAACGAGACACTGCGTCGGTCCGCCACACCTCTCCCCGCCTGGAGTGCCTTGCTTCATAGAAAAGGCTAATGTTTTTCTGTGTGCCAGCGTGCTTATATACCCCTCCCCCACACACTAGCGTTCTAGCAACACCAATAGGATTGGAATAGTTTCATTCATATTTCAGCCCTGCCACGGCCAGAGGCGTTCCCATAGCGTCGTCACCGACGCAGTGTCTCGTTCCCCTTCTCGGGGAACAAGGGTTACATACGTAACCCGAGACGTTTTCTTGGGATAAGATGCCAAATCATACTGTATGAGAGGCTATTTTCTTCAGCAGATACATTGCAGCAGTCCATGTGTGATGAAGGGCTACCGTTGCAGACAGGTCGGCTTGGCTGTCTGAGAAGGACCAGGAATGGAATGTAGGAATAACAAGCAAAAACGCTGTGATACATCTTTAGAAAAGGTTACACAGACTTGGTGCCCTTTAAGTGCTGCCAGTGCTTAAAGGTTAACTTCGGTATAAATTGGATCTTATTTCACCATATTTTGTGTTTATGTAACAAATTGGGACAACATTTTTGGAAACTGATCCAGTATTGAGCAAGCGAGCTGCAAAACAGGGTAACAACACAATCCTTGCAGGCAATTGACCCTTCGCTAAGCCAATACGCAGCTGGCCAATCACAGTGCAGTATATAGAACTCGCTCTAACTGAGGTCTGACACTTTAATGGCTGCGCTCCATTGACTCTAATAAAAAGGAGTAGTTTTTATAGGGTTTTTTTGCTGTATTTTTCCAAGACATGTTCAAACACTGTTCCTGGGGCACTTTTAATAGTTACAATCGCTACCCAGAGAGGTTGAAAGGAGAAGTACCATTTATTCGCTTTCCAAAACCTAAAACAAATCCAGAAAAATGTCGGCTGTGGATTGTTCCTAATTTAATGTTAGTTTGCTAATGCTACCTAGCTTACTACTGAATGTAACGTTATAAAACACGACTGCTTTTTAATTATTGCAATAGTGAATAGAGACTTACCCAGGTGTACAGGACCAGTGTTGATCCTTAAGTTCTTTGTCCTCTTTCTCAATAGTGAAGTAATGTGGTAGTTCACTTTTACTCTGTAATCATTAGGCTTTAGTTTCTGTCTTTATTTTCTCTGAGTGGGCAGCTGTAGTGTCTAGCAGGAGGCAGTTAACCTAAACACCATTCTATAGTACAAAACAAGTGTGTGATCACACCCTGGCTCCACACGGAGCTTCAAGCTCATTATGTTCGATGCCATGGCGCTCGTATCAAGTGGCATTATGACAAACAGTGGGGGATAACTTTTGAGAGAGGACAGTTGTGTATTAGCCTCTCATCCTGCTCTTAGGCATTGTCGCAGCTGCCTCTGAAGCCTGGGACTCTCCACCCTGAGCCACAAAGCACTGGAGGGGTGTCTTTGAGAAGTCAAAGCGAGAGGGAACTACTTGGTGAGTTCAGAAAACATGTGTATGTAACTTTATTCCAGCTATGAATGCCATAAACAATAACTAAGGGGGCGTGGCTTAGTGAAGGGTCAATTGCACCACGTCAAAGTATCCACTAAAGTGCTTGTTTTTGCCACTGACAGGCTCAGATGGCATTATGGAAAGGCAGGGGCGTGCATATGGCACCTTTTCACTTCAATGATAAATTAGCTTAATTAATCAGAAGTCAGTTAAGAATTATTTATTGACGAAATATTCGGTCATGCGGTCTTCCCCCAGAAGATTTTGAACATTAAACTCTTAATTTCCTGAATTTTCCTGACATTTTCTGCACCAATTTATGGTGGAAATGTCTTTATTTTTATTAAGGGAAGGACAAAATTTAGGTGGCAGGTGAAAATTCAGAATACAAAAATATAATAGAATGTAATGCAGTAATCAGTAGCTTATTATTTTTTTAGCTTATATCTATATATCGGTTATTATTGCGCATTTGGTGAATTAATATTTTTTTGTCCCACAACACAAGAAACAGCTTGAGCAGAGGGGGAGGGAGTGGGTGCTGTAAGAGATGTGATTGGGCCAGCCCAATGTCAGTATAGGTATGGGGCTACAGTCAAAACATTCGGGGCTGAAGCCCCAGAAAAATGACCTGGCAACACCGATGTGGAAAGGATCCAGACAGAGCTAGACCTTTTTTTAAGGAGCTTTTTGTTTAACAGTCACTGTGTTGTCTTCGTCAAATCCACCAGAACCTGCTGATAAAAACAGTAATTTTAACTTGCAGAACACGGGAGTTGCTGGTTTAGGGATCCTTTACATATTGTTGTCAGACACTTGTAATAACAATCTGAGCCTGTCAGTGGCAAAAAAAGGCACTTTAGTGGACATACTTTGAGGAGACGCAACTGCCCACATGGATTATGTTTCATGCATATTTCACTGCAGCACACTAACTCAATTTGGGACCAATGTCAAAACATGTTGTCTCAGTTAGTCACATAGACACAAAAACATGAGAAAATAGAGACCAGATTGAAAATATATCACTTTATTTATTTGTTTGATTTGCTTTTATTTGGGCCTTTTAAATCTTCCATACCATTGGGCTATAATTCTTGTATGGTACAGCCAAAACACAGAAAATTTTAAGTGAAAGACAGGTTTTGGGGTTTGGGAAAGATTACAGACTTGGCAGACGTGGCTGGTCTGTTTCTCTGGCTGAGAAGATACTGGAGGACAGCTGTCATGGTAACTTTATTGTGACTTAGCCAAGGTATTGAGGCCAGACAAATACAACACTTGAATCTTCCAACAGCCAGCTTATAGATGAAAGTATATAGCACAAGAAAACAGTTTTCCTGGCTCTTGGTGTTCATATAATTCTGTTTTCAGGTTTACTCATCTTCATTTAAGTGAACTTTGTTAAACAGGGTAATTGTGGATGTTTTTTGAGCAATGGTGTTTTATGTGCGTTGTTTCTGGAGTGCAGCAGACAGAAATAGGTCATATGATCAACCTGAGGAGGGCGCAGACAGTCAACCCAGTTATTGGCCAGTTATGTGGAAAGAAGTCAAGACTAAGTTTAATGACCACAAAGCCACAACCGGTGGAATTTTCTTGTAGTACAGCGAAGTCAGTACAGCTCAGTTTCCAATGCATACAAACCACATGAACACATGGCACGCATCAACAGTAGCCTACTGTACACGCTGTATGTACTGCGTGTGCAAAAATGTGGGTATTGTGAAGAAGAATTCATTTGAATGAATTTAGTGTTCATGTAGCAGATTGTAGCTCTGAGTGGGCAGCTGTAGTGTCTAGCAGGAGGCAATTAACCTAAATACCATTCTATAGTACAAAACAAGTGTGTGATCACATCCTGGCTCCACACGGAGCTTCAAGCTCATTATGTTCGATGCCATGGCGCTCGTATCAAGTGGCATTATGACAAACAGTGGGGGATAACTTTTGAGAGAGGACAGTTGTGTATTAGCCTCTCATCCTGCTCTTAGGCATTGTCGCAGCTGCCTCTGAAGCCTGGGACTCTCCACCCTGAGCCACAAAGCACTGGAGGGGTGTCTTTGAGAAGTCGAAGCGAGAGGGAACGTCTTGGTGAGACTCTTGCTGTGAAGAGCAAGCTCTGCGCGAGATGATGTTTCACAGGGCAACCTCCTTCTTGCCCGTTTGGTGGGAGGGGTTTAGCGGAGTGATACAAGCAGCAGAGAGAGATGCTGAAGGTTTTGCACTGTACGTTCAATTGTTACCGAAGGCCATTTTAAAACTTTGTGAAGAGTGGCAGTGTGAAATAAAAAGTTAATTAATTAAATTAATATTGAATTATTTCACAATTTCATAGTTGTGTTTTGGTCTCCCGAGTTAAGGTAAAAGTGTGGTGCATTTGAATGCAGAATCTGTGGGCAAGGGACAAGATTTTGGCATCCGAAGCATTCTGTTTTCCATTTGTAGTCCTAATAGTATTGACCAATCATGTTTGAGTGGACTTTGGTTGCATGCAAGTAAAAAAGTCTGTGTGGAGAGTAAAAGAGTTGGAACTCATTTGCTGAAATGCAGTCTTAGAACCCACAGGCTATTGTCTGACAACGCTTTTTATTAGCTTACTCCTGCACCTCCCCTATCCAGCCCTCTGGCCTGAGATCACCAGCTCCTTTCCCCATTTCCCCGGACACTTGTCTCTATACTGCTTTCTGGTTTTGACCTTCACCTGCCTCTCCATACCATAAGCCAATGTTGTACATTGACTATTGTGGTGTCTACAGTTGAGTCTTAACCCTTGAGTTTCTGCTACCCTGCTAGCACTATTGGGATAATTGTCCGTTGCGGGACTGTGTGACCCTCGATTAGCCTACAGCAGATGCTTTTAACATTGTCACATAAAAGTGTTTGTTTAAAAAAAACTCCCAGACATACTGTTCCAAGATAACTCTCATTGTGTTGGGAAAAAACCTTGATTGTTTTGACAGGAAAAACCTGAATGGTCCGTCGATCTAAACAGACTCTGCTGCCACTAAGGTCTCTCCAATTCATCCATAATTCATGGGTAAGCCTGTGCTGGAAGGCTGGAAGGCCTTGTACTGTTGGCCTACTGTTAGCCAAGCTGAATAATTAAACACAGAGTTTTCCTCTCAATTGCCGTACAGAGTGTACCTTGTTCATTTTCTTAATCAGTCAGGTGGAGATACAAAAGGGACGGTTCTTACAAAACAGCAGCTGGCTATGCAGGACTTGGATGTTACCATATACTGTTCTCTTAAGAATGTGGCAGCTGGTGTTGGTACACAGTATGTTATATAAATTTTGTCAGCTGGCCAGGCATTCATGTTGCTCATCTGGGTGTACTTTCCGTAAGTGAGGTAATGTTTTGCAATCCGCTTTCCCAAACCTCTCAGAGCAAATCATTTTGCAATGTCATTTCAAGTGGGGTTTGTTTTGGGTGTTTTCATTCCAGAAAGTCGCAACAACTCTGTCCCTCGTTTCATTTGTGCCAGATGTTGCCCGCACGCATTTTATCCTCTCCTCAGTCTGTACAGCTAAGGCATTCTCACCAGAGCAACAGCTGCGTTTCTTAGTCATGATGGAGACCAAACAAAAACAAGTTTTCAGATTTCTGGCTACATGTGAGAGAAAGGTTGGAGAGACGAATGATGATGATGTCAGTTACAAGGGTTGGATAGCATCTTCGCCAAGCCCTTCATCCCTTTTATTGACATGCTGGAAACATTCAGTCAGAGTCCTCAGTGGAAAATCCACAGTGGATCTTTGTGGTCAGGAGCTGAAACATTGTGTAGTGAGACAGATCACTGTCAAAGAGTCAGTTAAACTGGAGCTTGTTCACAGCAGGTAGGCGAAGTGAACACTGCAAAATAAAAGTTAGCAAGCTAACTTGACTTTAAATGCTAAAGTTTGACTCCTGTTTATTTCACAGCCTGTTATCTGCTGTATCTCCCATTACAGGTGTGACTTTGATTCAGAGGTCCAGTGTTACATTGTACTTAACAGACACAATAGTGCATGTTTATCCAGCGTAATAGAAATTTGATGAACTCCTTAATAATACCAAAAGGTTATCTCCTATCTCACATACTAGCCAAATGCATCCGTGTATTCTAGATGGGCATAAACACTGTCATCAGTGTCATCAAGAAAAGTCCACATAAAAAATGTAGGCTACCATTACCACTGAACTGATCAATAATTATCCCATTTACCTTTTGTTGTTTTTTTGCAAAATACTATGACAACACATGGGACACCTTTAATGGATGGATCTGAATTTGTTTGAGAGTTGAGGGATATTTACATTAATGGTGCCTAAGGAGCACATGTAACTGCTTCTTTTCACAGCCCTGCAAGATACACTTCGTCACACACCACACGCTGTCCTTTTCCATGTGTTACTAGGAGTGTATGAAATGTACAGGGGTTACCTCAATGTGACCTTTGTCAGAATATGAACCACCGGCATTTGTGGATTCTTCATCTTCTGATTGAGAAAAAATTAAATTTTGTGTGTTCTTTCATTAGTATATCCCAGACAGTCTTGCATTTATTGTCTGCTATGTTCACAGTAGGCTATAGCATGCATTACTGAGTAGTTATGCTGTTCAGCATTAGGTCTGGATTTTCCTGCAGTTTTTCCAAATTCCAAAATAACTCTTGAGTAAGTCTTTATTAACTCCCCCAGGAAATTTTGATCTTTAGACACTTAATTTCATGCATTTTGGTGAGTGTTTCTGCACCAATTTATGGTGGAAATGTTTTTATTTATGTAAAAGGAAACACAAAATTCAGGTGGCAGGTGACATTTCAAAATATATAAATATAATAGAATCCAATGCAGTGCAGCTCTCAGGCATTCTATGTTGCTTTCAGATCTGTTTCTCCTGTACATCAGTTTTTCTAATTTAATATCATCTCTGCTGAGGCAACACATGATTTACTCTTCCCTCCTCTTTTGTCATGTTCAAAGGGAGATTTTATTTTGTTTTGTTTATATTTTAATTGCATTGCATATTCCCTTAATGTGCAAATAAACCTTTCTAAAGGCATTTTCATTTGTTATTCAACTGCAAGCTATATTTCAGAACGGTTTTTAAACAATTATGCTTTATAAAAATGGTGGGGACAGCATTCCCCAGCATTCCCAGTGTAAATGACACCTATGGTTTTCACTGTGCTACAACTACAACCCTACAAAGTGAAGTGAAAATCCATCACATGTGATTTGTAGCAGTTAACATCAGTGGAAGTGATGTGAGTTGATGTTTCAGTTCAATATGGACCCTATGTCATACTCATGGTGTTTGGTCTGATGACTGAAGTGACTGCCATCTGACTAGTGCTCAACAGAAAATTAATTAACTATTTTTATATATACATACATTTTTACTGGCCCTGGCCATTGGGCCATTGCCCATGTCGAACTCTGATAGTAAAATCATTTGGGTTTGGACTTTGCATGGAGCATAACAAGCAATTTGGAGATACCACTCCGCTCTGGGTTCTTGTGATCAGCATTTGTTAGTTGTTCTAATTTTTTGTTGTCAGACAACTGGACAGGCATACAATGGGGATTTAATTGTGGTTTATAAATGCTGCATGACAAGGAAGTCCTATGCTTCTGATATGTTGGTCAAATAACTTTTTAATGATCTGATTTAATGATTTAACTCCTTGGACAAAATGAATTTAAACAGACACCTGTGTGTATAAGGTAGGTAAAGGTGACAGAAAGTTATCTTTTTAATTTAAAAGGAACTTCACTGATTTTACACATCAGCATCTATTTACAGGTGTTGGTATGTGAGTTAGAAAATAATTGAATGTTTTTTTTTATCTAGTCCAGTCTAATCTCAGTTTGACACCCACTTCATATAACTCTAATGGAACGAATCTGGCTGGGTTTTTTTTTCTTTCTGTCTGAAAAATTCATCCGATCAACTTCACACTTGGCAGGTATATTGCTCACGACTCAAGCAGTGCGGTGTCGAGTTTGTTGCCTTTTGGCCAGATCTTGGCACTGTAGCAGCATCATCTACTATGAAGGATGGAATCTTTTGTCTGTTTGTATGTATGCATGCATGACGGTGCTTCACATAGCTGTCAATTTAGTACTTCTAGATACTCTATAACCTGGGCTACAATGTCTTCTGAATTTTTCTTATCTTCATAGACGAGCATTATCCACTCTGTTAGTTGTCCAGTCACTTAGCTTTTGTCTGTATAGTTTGTTTTGTTGCGGCATTGTCTGTATAGATAATAACTTTTTTAACTAACTTTTTTATTGCACTCAGGCAGCAATCAGGTTTCTTCATTCCATGTTTTTGGAACCACTGCTATCCATTAGAATAGGAATGTACTGTAGCTCAGTGGTGGAGTGCATGCTTAGCATGTATTAGCCCCAGCACAGCAGAGCAGCTGTACAGACTCTGCTCAGGCAAGGCTGTGAGTCCCAAGGCTGCCTGAGGGTACTCAAAGCTTCTGACGCCTACCTGTGTGGAGTTCTCCAGCATATCTTCAATCTGAGCCTGACTCTGGATAGGGTCCCTGTGCTGTCAGACATCCTACCAGGTTCCTGTGCAAAGAAGGCATGCCCTAGGTCTTCCAACGACTACAGGTCAGTGGTGCTGACTTACAGTTACATTTGCATTTACTCATTTGGCACTTGACGCCTTTATCCAAAGCAACTTACATTTGAGGAACAACATAGAAGCATCAACAGAGCATCAACTACAGATCTACAACTGAAAATACATAGTAGTAAGAGCAGCAATAAATAGTAAGAGCTCATAGTTCATATCACATCAATGGGGTAAATACCTAGGGAAGGAAGTAAGAGTTAATAAAAAAAGTGCAATTAATACAAGATAATTGTAACATGGTTTGAAAGGGACAGCTGGTCATCAATCATGACACCCAAGTTTCTCACCACCCTGGTTGGAGTGATGGTTGAGGAGTCAATTTGTAGTTTGATGTTATGGTGGATAGATTGCTTGGCTGGAATGACCAAGTGTTCAGTCTTAGACAGGTTTAGTTGAAGGTGGCAAACCTTCATCCATGCAGATATGTCTGAGAGACAGTCTGTGATCCGCACCGAGACTTTGGGGTCGTCTGGCGGATTTCCCTTCTGATTGTCATCTTCATGGAGGCTAGCTATGTTAACTTAATCACTATATCTGAAATAGGAGAAAACTGGACAGTTTCTGCAGAGTCAGCAGTTCACAAAAGGAAGAAGGAAGAGAGAGAAGGAGAGAGCCAAAAATGTAAATCCACCTAAAGTCCTGTCAGGAGATGTAGGGCCTCTTATTAAAATGTGCCTCTTTTTTATCTGTTCAGCAGCAACACAGTACTCACCTATCTACTATTACCAGCAGATGGCAGTATTTGTCTTTCACATTCAATTGGGAAACCATCGACTATAACTGTAAACACTGCCACTTTCAGATCAGACTCTGAGGCAAGCCCCTCCACAGCTGAGCCTGAAACCTGCTCACATGTGACTCTTTCAGAAAGAGGAAGAGTAGGCCGGAACCACAGATAAGAGAAAAGCGCTTCACACATTTCAGTCACTTGGGTTTCCCTGGTGCAAAATCAGTAGTAGATACTGCCAGTGACTAAGTATGAACAATGTAATGTAATGTAGTAGAGGGATTTGCTAAAACCTAGTTAATGCTTCATCTAAGTGATCTAGCTGTTAGCTGGGAAATCCAGGAAAGCCCACATTAAGCATTTTCCAATGAAATGTGACTTTGGGGGTTTTCTCACCATTTTTTTTTTTGCTCTTTCATGGTGACATACTGTAGAATATGTAGCAGGAACATGATCAGTTGTGCCGTTTTATCTTGTGGGGTAATTACAATGTCCTGTAGCAACTAAACATACAAAATACTTGCTGCAAAGGACAGCTGATGTAAAATGCTGCATTAAAAATCTTACTCCAGTAAAAGGAAGTAAGACTATCTAGTAACTAGTATTATCAGAAAAAAAAACTTAGTGACACCAGTAAAAGTACTTATTATGCATTATGTTTTCCCAGTGTTATACATTATTATTATTATTTTTACAGCATTGTGTATTTTTGTTGTAGTTATCTAAGTTATAAAGCTTGGGCAATTTCAGTTTCGAAACCTTAATCTTATAAAGACATTTATGTCCAAATAACCTTTGTGTGGTAAGAATTTTTTTTTTATGTAAATCAACTTCTTTAAAAATGTGTGGAAAGGAGTGTCTATAGCTTGAAAATCAACAAGTGAACAATTAAATGCAAAAGATGGCAGACATGGTAGCCACTATACCTGCTAAAAATGTGCTTGTTTATGTCATCATGTTTGTATATTTATATTATTTGTATATTAAAATGAGCATTTAGCTCAAAGCGCCACTGTGCTTCAGTACAGCCTCACAGAACAGGTAGCATAGCTGTAGACTCTTAGTCCTGTTCTTATAGTCCCATTCCAGAGTCTACACGGGTGCATTAAGTGCAGAGGCTGCGCTTCCCAGAAGGCTGTCTCAGATTTCTTAATTTACTTTAACAGTAGAAAGAAGAGAGAGAGAGAGAGAGAGAGAGAGAGAGAGAGAGAGAGAGAGAGAGAGGAGGAAGTGGAAGTATCCCCCACCCACTCTACTGCTACCATGGAACCATGTTCCTCAGCTAACAAACAAAACTGTCCTTTCCATTAACACTCACCAGTGATCAATCAGTCAGTCCTGCATCAAATACCAAATATTTGTGCACACTTTGACAGCTGGAAATGAGAGGATTCATTCAAAAACTTTTTGTTCCTTAGAGATAATGCATGACACATAGTGTATGTTAGTGTTGCCAATAGACAAGTCTGATAGTGAGATTATTGAGTAAGAAAAAGAAAGTATGTGAATGCGAATGTGAAACAATCTGACATAGTGAATTTTGTCTGTGAAGGTTCTCAGTCATCCATGTCATAGTTATCCAAAGAAGGTTAAGGTCAAGGGCAACTGGACTTGGTTGAAGATACTAGAACACGTTTCGTCCCTCAACCAACAGACTTATTCAGTTCTCAGCTATTTAACCTCTGTGGGACTGATATGGTATCAATGATCCTGGCAAACGACCCCATAGTGAAGGTTTTAATTTCATAGGAATCTCTCTTAGTTGCGAAGCAGCCAATCCAAAATGAATATGTTTAAATTACTAACTATACTTGAAGTAGTAGTGAAATATCAGTATTGAATTTTCATTTTATTGCATAGTGGAGCACTGAGGTTTATTACAAATTTGAATGCCCTTACTCACCATTGCTCCTTATATGCTTATGTTGGATTGTCTGCTTTATCCACCTGTCAACTTAATCACTGGCATATTTTTATTTATATGGCATTCTTGGTCTGCTTCCTTCTTGCCTACAAATCTACATCCATAAGAAAAGCATGCGAAGATATTGTCTTTGCTCCCAAGACTTATTCCTATTATCTGTCCCTAAAGTCTGTGAAGAATTGGGAAAAGGAGCATTTAAGTATGCTCAATAATAAACAAAACAGAAGTAACACAATTGATTTTTAGTATAAAGCACGCCAGGTCTCATCTCACAGGATGTACAAAACACAAATCAGATATCACATGCATTCCACAGAAGCGTAATTTGTACAGCATCATGATGCTATTAATGTTCCACAGGAATTAACAAGAGGGAGTCCATAAAGACTACGTACACATGTTTGCATAGTGCAAACATACTTAAAAAGATAGCTTACACATTTTTAGTGATAACTTATTTCTTAAAGACTATTAGACATTGTTTCATGAGGAAAAAAACTGCATACATTTGATTATTGTGTCAACAACCACTCTGAAATATAGCAAATACAAAAACCCCATAGGGAGCTCTGGAAAATTATACCAATAACTAACAGTTAATGCTTATTAATGCATAATGCATGTCTTCTAGCCACTGTCCTGCAGTGTTGTTGTCACAGCAGTCCATTTCAGTTCATCAAGGTTCAGTTTCATCAAGGTTGAACTAATTCCCTTCATTACAAGTCATCTTAATTGCAGATCATCAATGAGCCATGTTGCCTTCCAGCTGTCCACCTGTCTGAACTATTCATCAGTCCTCCCTCAGTGAAGAGTGGGCTAGGCTGTGAGAAAAGGCTAAAGTTCAGCCACGTACATGGTTAGATGTGGTGCGGTGCTAACCATAATCTGAGTTGGGGGGCCCTGTTACCAGTTTACAGTAACCTGACAAGGCCCCCAGGTCAATGTACAAGGAGCCCTTCCTCCTCGTATGGGCGGAGTCTTCAGAGTACAGAGAAGATTCTGCAGAAAAGAGAAAGGAGTTCATGTTTAATTGGGGCAAGAATCTAATTAATTACTGGAACCAAATTGACCTCAACATCCAGGTCCTTACCCTGTGTGGTGTCGTGGTGCTGGCTCTGCAGCCGTAGCATAGTGTGGGTGGCCTCCTCCAGGGCTGAGTCAAGGCTCCAGCAGCGTGGCTGATCCTCCCTGGGTGGGTTGATGGCTTCGTCCTTCAACAGCTCCGACGCAGAACTCCGCAGAGCAGGGTTCCTCTCCAGGGCTCGCTCTAGGAAGGAGTGCATGGCCAGGCTGCAGTCCTCCGCTATGTCCTCCAGAGGGGGGGCTTGCTTGTGGATCTGTTGGAAGAGAGATAATCAAAATTGGCATTAGAAAACTGCAGCATAAGAGAAAAAAAAAAAAAAACTAAAGTTACAAAGACAGTCGAGGCTTCCACACAACAAAACACAACACAACACTTAAAAACACCTGCAGCAGCTGTGACCTAGTTTTTTTCTCTTCTTGTTAAACACGTTTGGTCGTGGTAAAAAGGAAAAAGGACAGGTTGCAAACCTCAGCCTGTAGAAGTGACTTAACAATGTAAAATTACTTCTCCATGTCGCAGTTTCACGAGGAAGTGAGTAACTATTTTAATCAGAAGATCTGAAACAGAAACAGGACTTCGTAAAAGCAAAGAACCTATGTCATGGAAAACCTTTTTAAAAAAGTAGTGACTGACTAAATGGGCCATCAGTCACACAACCTTTTTTATCTCATGATAATCTAGGCTGTGGAAGACCTGACCAAGGTCATGGAAAAGTGTGTCACCTTTTCAACTGCAGCAAGATCCACAATGTTGTCAGTCTCACAGCCTGTGTCTTATAAAAGAAAGTAGAGATAATGTGTCTTATAATAGCTATGCTAGTGGCTCTGTGCGGGTGTAATGCTAATTGCATACAAAACACAAACTTCACTGTCTCCACTGTGAGATCTCTGCCCTGCTGTTCACTGACTTTGTTCTGTGTGTGTGGAGGAGTTCATCCCCGACACAGAGCAGGTGAGAGGTTCAAGCATGTTCAGAAGTTACACCAAACCCTTATGAAGTGCACATAAAAGCACAGTTAACATCGGAGCTTATCAATACAACGGTCTTAAATAATTCAGCCCTGGGGCGAGGAGTCATGTTTGTGTCCACTAGGTGAATGTAAGTCCAATATTCACTCTCCTTTTAGCTGTTTTGGCCTCTACCAACTCCTGAGGGAAATATCTGGCTCTTCAGCCGCTAAATGCTTCACTATGTTCACCAGCAAGTTGCTAACATTGTTTGCCTGCCATTTGGTGCTGGTCAGGTAGTGTTCAGTCGGTCTTTAGAGCTGTCCACTGAGGCTGAAGACGACAAGATAGAAGACTGAACCAAAGCCTATAGTCTGTGAAATCAAAACAACAAGCTCAAAGACTAAAGCGCTTTATAGAGCTTTAGAACTTTTATAGAGCTTTAGTCAGGTGATAATAGCTACCCCTTTCACTATACAAGTAGTCATGTGATCCATTTTTAATGTAAAAGCTGCTTTGATTGATTGATTTACTTTAAGACTTGGTATAATGCAATATAAATATAAAGTACAGTTAAAGCTGATGGGAAGGTCATTCATTTTAAAGATACTTAAAAGATGTCTGCACAAAATTGCATGATTATCCGTCAAACAGACATTTCTCTTAGAAACACAAAGTTCACCTTGCTGATGGCGCAAGTGAAAAAGTCAGGAGATCACGTCAGTAGGGTTTATCCTTTGGGGGCCATGAATGTCTGGCCAAAGGTCTTTATTAGAGACTTCATACATTCAGGGTTCATACATTTATCCAGATCTTGTAAAAAAAGATATATAACACAATAAAGGAAAGGGAAAAGGCCAAAAAGCATACTGCGATATGACCTCATGAAATGAGTGTGGCTCATAAAAAATGTACAGTACTTACAATATAGAGGTAGGACGGGTAGGCAGTGCGTGGGTATCTCCGGACCCATGGAGGGCTACCAGTCTGCATGTGGATGATGGTGGTACCCAGGCTGTAGATGTCTGTTTTGGTGTCGTGCCCTCGACACAGAACCAACTCTGGACTCATATACATCTAAATGAAGGAAGAGTAACACAATGTGAATTAGATACAATGGGGCTGCAGAGGATAATGGCTGGAAAAGGTGTGAAAGTGTTTCCTCTTTCACTGGTTTCTCATTCAAATGAATGTATCACCACTGAACAACACACAGGAAACATTTGCAGTAGAAAGGTAACCTTTAGATCCATGCTGTGTGTGCCAAGATAAAGGCAGTGCAGAAGTACTGGCCACTGTAGTGTGAAAAGTAAACACGCTACCAGTGTGCGTGTGTCTCTCTGCTGGAAATTCCAGCCTGCTCTTCCAAGGTAATGTAAGCCTGAACAGCCCAGCGTATTTGCTAGTTCTGTCTCTCTTTTTATTACTGCTGGGGGTCTGCCCTGGGACTTTCCATAAGTCAAGCTGCGAGAGGCCCGGGGTGCACGTGCCTTAGACCCATATAGACTGACACATAATAAACAGTTCAAAACATGGGAAAGCTAGGCGGACACTTGATGGGAGAAAGGGCTCGTGAGAAAACCCTTGGATTAATCCAAACATTTTCTATGTGCTGATTACATCTGCACTGAGCAGAAGCAGAAGAAGCCTATTTTTAGCATCAGTGAGGTCAATGAGTGCACTGACTGCTCTTCAACAACACTTGCCAATCATCCACTTTTTATGAATCATTTTGGAAAAGACATATGCTACTGCTGACATGCATTAGTCCTTTATATCCCTGGGGAAGTCCAGCCTAGTCATGAGTCAAGCAGAGTGCTGCCTTGTTTTTGGTAAAAACACACACTCAAGATCAGAGATGGAAATAACATGTATTGATTGCACTGAGCAATTACAAAAAACAGATGTTGGATCTATGCATTCATTACACACAATTGCAGCCTGTAATACTCTATCAGATCACTGGCTTATTTTCTTACCTCTGTTCCTCTCAGGTCTCTGGGAATGTATATGTCCTCTGTCATCTGCACTGTCAGGCCAAAGTCCACCAGCACTGCCTTGTCTGACATCAGGACAATGTTACTGGCTAAAGAAAACAGAGAAAATGATTATTATAATAGCTATTACTATATAAAATTATATAGTAATAATAGTGATTCACATGTGTTGCAGATTACAGTATTTTCAGTTTTTATGCTTTGCTTTATAGGTTGGCATTTGAGGTAATACTTAGTGACTTTTCACACTGTGAACAAGCTTGCACTGTGTCTAAATTGATTTCAAATGGGAAAAGACCACTGAAGCCTCCCAAGAAGAAGTCAAGCATGTTGCATGCCTTTAGCAAAGGAAAAAAGTCTCATACTTGCATTTAAAAAACACACCAAGGTATAATTATATGTTTCTATCGCAGGCAGGAAACACTAAGAACCACAGCAACATGTCAGAGGGCCAGGCTGGTCTTTGTCTTAAATCACTTGCCTCTCTTGAACCTACATTTAACCCTGAGAGAGCATGAGAAGCAGGCTGGAATTTCCAGACACCGAGGGCCATATCAGTGCAAGTGTCATTGCTAGTTTCAAACTGACACAGTTTTCAATTTCCCTTCCAGCGCCCACGTTGTTTAAATAGGAAATGCACTTGGGCCCATCTGTGCGCCCACGGGTGTGTAAGTCTTAAAATGAGGAGTGGTCAGGCACACTGTTGTTGCATTGCTATCTTGAAGCAGCAGAAAGAGATTTCACTGACCAACAAAAAAACATGGCGCAGCATTTTACTGATATTTAAGGGGCGCCGTCTTCCAATAGTATGGTTTAAGAGAGAAATATAACTTCACTCAGGTAGGATCAGTCAGGATGCACAGACAGCAGCCTCTCTAATTATTAAAGTAAATCGTTAAAGAAAACACCCATTCATCAATACAGCACATAATAAAGAAATCACCTGGAAGATAGAGATGTGCCTCACGACCAGTTCATCATAGTTTTCTATAAGGCAGCGCAGTGCTGATACAGATGTTTCGTAGAGAAGATGAGCGGCTGCAGTGTAGTTAATACACTTCACAGATAAACAAGAGCTGCAGAGTAACATTAGGCTTCGTGATCAAAGAACGTTTTTATGTCATTTCGACATTTCTGTCCATATTCACACAACCTCTCTCTCTGGTTCACATGAGCTCTCTATCTCTCTCTCTCTGCTGCTGCAAGTCTGCGGCACACTTTTTTCTGTATTTATATTTTTTTAAGGTTTCAAAATGCGCCAATAATCTGCCATTATAACAGCAGTGCAAGGTAAAAGTGCCCCTGGCTTTTAAAGGGATTGGGATATGACACTCTGATTGTTTTATTGCATGTTCCCAACAGAAAGAACCCATGATTAATTAAAAGACTAAGTACAACCCTTGTGAACCATGCGCCTGGTGCACTGACCATGTGTTCTGCCGTTAAAATAGCCAAAGTAGATTCGGACACGTCCCAAATTTACCTGAACCCTGCTCTTCACGCCGTGCACCGGGCCCCAGGTCTTTAGACAATGAGGCTGACAGAATGGAGAATGCTTTGATCCCAGCTATGGTCCAACCAACATGAAACTACCTTACAACAAACCTCAGCTGAGCCTACTGGAACTAGGATGATTATATTTGAACAGTTCCCCTTTAAAACACGTTCGTCAAACCTGGTGTGTAAGATTGTCATTGTCATATTTCTATGGTATGTTTGGTTTGTGGCTAGATTGAACCACCTCTTTCCTGCTAGGCACTAAAAACTCTCGGTAGAATTATTTACCAGAACTGTATCCGTCTGTGGCTTGACTTTGACGTAAAGAGGGTAAGAACTGACATTACATAATTTCCTGACCCATTTGTAATAGCTTAGCGCAACGCAGTACATCCATCAACAGCAGTCAACAAGTGAAGGGCATTTTCCCCCCCTTTGCTCTTACGTTTGATGTCATGGTGGATGACGTTGTGCGAGTGAAGGTACTCCAGGCCCCGCAAGACTTGCTTGGTCACCCAGATGATCTCGAACTCCCTCATGGGCCCACAGCTGTCCAGCTTCTCCAGGACCGAGCCACCCTCTCCGGCCTCCATGAACAGGTGGACGCTCTGGTCCCAGAGCAGAGCGCCATAGAGCTCAGCAATGTTTTCATGGCGGTACCGGGCTTGGAACTCCACATCGGCTGCTTTAAAGTTCTCCAAGGGGACCTGTGAGGATGACGATGGAATACAAATAAATGCATCATCACAAATGAATGAATTTTGGGAAATATGCTAATTTGCTTTCTTGCTAAGAGTTAGATGAGAGGCTTGGTACCACTCTCATATCTGTATGGTAAACATGAAGCTAGAACCAGTGGCCAGTTAGCTTAGCTTAACGTAAAAGGAGTAGGCAGCTAGCCTGGCTCTGTCTGAAGGTAAAAAAATGCACCTGCACCTCTATCTCATATGTTAAATCTGTAGATAAACAGAAATGAAAAACAATAATTGGTGGGTTTAGGGGATTCCAGCAGGCACATTTTTTTTAACCTTTGGACAGAGGTAGGCTAAATGGTTAACACTGGGTTTTTCCCAAAATGTTGAACTCTTCCTTAAGAGCGTGTTTGTTACATAATTGACAGTTTTTGAATGATGATAAATTGATGACTCTCCTTTTCATCAGTCATTTTAATCTGCTGATATGCAGGAAATGTATTCTAACTCACATACCAAGCACATACACTCACATTGCCAGTAAACCTTGTCAGTTTGTGTGTACAATACACTGTGTCAACATAGCATTCTGATCATAACACCATACTAGGTAGGAAACTACTCCTTCCTCATTTCTCAATATTTTCCATGTAGCAAAGAGTAAGAACACTTTTCACCCCCTTAAGTGAAGAGGGCAGTATCAGATAGAGAAGAAAAGAATGTGTTGTGAAAAGTGTGCCAGAACTGTGTTACATCAGTTTTCTGTCTATCTATCATGCCTACATATGTTTTTTATTATGAATCTAGCATTATCATAAACAAACTGTGGGAGGTCACTGTTAAATTTCAATTCTTGCATTAATCTTAGCCCATGTAAGTGTGTTATGAAAGGCTGGTTCTTCTTTTAAGAGCACTCTTCCTCCTTTAAGGGAAAACATACAAAATGTCATGTTGACTTTAGCAGCCATTGTACAAACACAAGTAGTTTCCCTTGTCAAGAAACAGTTCTTGGCAGGTGAATATTAATATGGCACCCAGAGCAAGTCAGAGAAGTCAGCACTGGCTGGATTCTAGTTGTTTCTCAGCAGGACTCACCAATTTGCATGCCATTCTCTTCCTGGTACTGATATCCTGGGCCAAGTGGACTTTCCCAAATGAGCCCTTGGCCACAAGGCCAGGGCCACGGTTTTTATAGGTCAGTTTCCATGGGAACAGGAGCACGTCCATGTTGATCTGGTAGCGGCCTTTTTTTACAGCCATGTCCTTCTGCAAACAAGGGTTTAAAAATGTAGAAAATACTAGTTTTTCTAGGCCAATCACATCCTCATGTAAAAACAGTGAAAGACTTAAAAGACACAGTCTTGTTTTTGTGACGCTTCTCACCTTGTTCAGTAGGACTCCCATCTCCTTAGGCAGGTGCTGCAGGGCTGATGCCTGCATGTTGGAGAGCAGGTTGACAAAGGACAGGAGGTCTGTCACCGTCCCGTACCGGACACCACCTACTCCATCTTCATAGTCAGTTTGCTGACTCCGTGAGCCCACAGAGTCACCCGCCTCCTCATTCTCATCCATCTCCTCCTGAGAGGAACCTTCCTCTTCGAATGACAAGCCTCCTTCCTCTTCAACTTCCTCAAGCTGATATAGATTCTCTGCAGCGTTGATGATGTCTTCTATATTCATGTGAGCCAACAGCAGTTCTACTCCATCATCATATTTGTAATCCATTTTGATTCTTGACTTGGGCTGCTTGCTCTAAAATGAAACATCAGGAGATGCGTTTATGGACATATTGTTCACACTTGCAAGAGAATTCATCTGGAGTGCAGGATATACAGTGACACTTCTTTGATTCAGCAAGGTTCAGAGGAGTTTAAAATACCCCTCCCAGCTGTGTGTTTCCAAAGAAATGAAGAGAATTTCACAGTAAAGCTGGGAAGCCCCCAGGAAATCTTGGACATTATTTTACATAAAACACCAATTGCTTATACTCTAGTTGTAGAAAAAAAACCCCTCATCAGAGTCCTTGGGCTGTGAATAGGAATCCAGCTCAAACACATATGCAAACATATATCCATGCAAAATACGTGCAAACATTTTGACAGACAGAGGAATTTCCCTGTCCATCAAAACCCCATGTTAAAATTGAACAAATACTGAGTCAGATTTCAGATCCCAAACTAAAATTCCCTGCCTGGAAAAAATATAGCAATAAGTCGGGATGTTATACAGAAGTTACAACCACTCTCCAAAATATTTAGCTGATACTTTTGATTTCAGCAAATTATTAATCTGATATCGATAACGATTTGAGCTAGATTAAGGAGAGAGAAAAAACACGCCGTACTTGCCGTAATCTTTGAGTCAGAACCTTGATGGGAACATCCACATAGCGCGTCTCCATCAGCCACCAGCCGTCACTGACCGACTGACTGACTGAGATCGTGTTTAAAGGAAGTGCAGTTGATCAACTCGGAGGCGGGGCAGGCTTTAACGTCAGATGCCAGCGCTGTGTGTTTCGTTTTCCCTTTGTTTTGTTTTGTCAAATGAAAAACACATTTCACATGGCTTCATTGCTGAAACACAGGACATCACTTTCCACAGAATCGATGGGTGTTTTCCTGTGGGAAGATGAGTTGTACAGTTGTTTTTGTAAAAGCAACTCTTAAAACAGCCGGTCACAAAATTAAAGACTGTATAAGAGAAGTTAATTAGGTATAGAAATGATGAAAAGAGGTAATTAAAATTACATTTGCAACGGTGACTGTAAAAGTTACCAAGGGCACAGTAGAAGTATAACCAATTGTCCAAATATTTATTTTTTAAACATATTTTATAGCCATAATCTGGTACCTCTCAGTTGCCGTAGACATAGCTACGCGCATGCGTCCTTGCGCCTCTATTGGGGCAGCAATGGCGTCCTCCTTCGCAGTGTGCAGGCTACATATGAGGGGAAGGGGAATTCTAGTGAAGGGTCTACAGAAGGTCGATACGTGTCTTCACAGGAATATTGGAACAAATGTTGTTGCTGCGCAAAGTGCAGCTCTTCGGAAAGAAGAAACTGGTTAGTATAAAAAGCTGCCAAACATACCGAGGTGGCCTGCTTACAACGACGGCCAAACCAAACTTCAGTCTAAAATGTCTGGGGTAACGTTAGCCTTGGCTATGGTCCAAAATGTGTGACTTATTTCATAGAAAATTAAAAACCTATGGAATCATTAAGGTGTCGGTAAAATTCGGCATTTTGTTTGTCCACCAAGGAGTCGATACAGTCTCATCCGGAAGTCATTTCATTTATACGATTTGATTTTAATAGATGCTGCTTTCCGGATGATATGCCAGAATCAAAATAGAAAAGTTGTTTCTGGAGTTGTGCTAGGTAATTTGTGGAATGCACATGCTTATCTAACAGTGCCACATACTCTGAAAAGTTGTGAGTTTCTGTATCAAAGGAAGACCACTTTTGACACACAAGTGGCGTTAAAATCACCACCATCTACTTCTGCAAAGATTGTCTGACAGCAACATTATGCTAACGTTACATGGCTGGACTGTGACAATAAAGTTTTTCATGTAATTGTTTAAAACTGAATATTTTGCTTCTTTATTGTCAGATGAAAAGGAGGGGTGCAAATCGTTGTATGCTGTCCAGGCAGAGAGACAAGAACAGGCAGAGAGATCTGTTCTCATCAGCTGCCACTCCAGAACCAATGAGAAGAAGTTCCTTAAGCATTTATCAAAACATGGAGATATAAAGAAATACTTCTTTTATGAAAGCTATGTAAGTGAATGAATCTTATGAAGTTCCTCTTATAAATAAGCACTTATTTCCAACAAATTTTAAGGTGCACATATGAAAAACTTCACTGTCATATTAGGACTCAGTTGGATGATGAATTTGTTTGTATTGGTGCTGTTCTCCAGGGCATGTATGCTGTAGTGGAATTTGCCAACCGGGAAAGTGTTGTTTCATTACTTGAAGAGGCAGTCATCCCCAGCGTTAACCATGAATCCATGGTTCCTTTTAAATCGAGACTGCTGTCACTGAAGAACCTCGGCTCAGCTGACTCAACTAACCAGCAGTCAGGCCATCAGTGCCAACCGCAAGCCACTATTCCCATCAACGAGCTCATACAGAGACTGTCCAGAGAGGAAAGTGTAAGTGGCTGGGTTATCACACCCAGATTTACTGTGTAGAATAAATGACTAATTTAGTGATTTAAATTCAACACTAAAGACAATGTGTGAATCCATTTCATATATATGCATACATGTGTATGTAACTATGTACAGAAACTGCGGTGCAGAAAAATGACAGCAGTTGCTCTGGCCTGATGAATCAAAATTAATGGTCTCCTCAAAATGCTGAATACACGCAGATACTTAGACTGATCAGCCATAACATTATGAGCACCTGCCTAATATTGTGTAGGTCCCCCTTTGCTGCCAAAACAGCCCTGACATGTCGAGACATGGACCCCACTAGACCCCTGAAGATGTGCTGTGGTATCTGGCTCCAAGATGTAAGCAGCAGATCCTTTAAGTCCTGTAAGTTGAGAGGTTGGGCCTCCATGGATCGGACTTGTTTGTCCATCACATCCCACAGATGCTCGATTGGATTGACATCTGGAGAATTTGGAGGCCAAGTCAACACTTTGAACTCGTGGTGTGTTCCTCAGTGTATGAAAGGGTTTACCTGGTCTGCAACAATTTCTTAGACAGGCGGTACGTGTCAAAGCAACATTCACATGAATGGCAGGACCCAAGGTTTCACACTGCCTCAGCTGGCTTGCCATATTTCCATAGTGCATCATGGTGCAATTCACACGCACCTGGCTTTCCAAGTGATGTAAAAGAAAACTTGATTCATCTGATCAGGCCACCTTCTTCTTCCATTGCTCTGTTGTCCAGTTCTGATGCTCACATGCCCATTGTAGGTGCCTTTGGCAGTTGACAGGGGTCAGCATGACTGGCCTGCGACTGTGCAGCCCCATTCGCAACAATCTGTGATGCACTGTGCATTCTGAAATCTTTCTATCAGAACCAGCATTAATCACGGTTTCGTCCTCTTTTCCTTCCTTGGACCGCTTTTGATAGGTACTGACCACTGCAGACCAGGAACACCCACATAGGGCTGGGCATTAAAACAATGATAATTATCGCAATATAATTTTCCTCTAACAATATAATAAATGTATATTGTCAATAAATATTGCTTTAATTCATCTGAATCACGAACAAATTAGCTCTTAATTTTTCTATTAAAATATTATTTTGTTGAAAAAAAGAGGCCTGAAAAAACTAATCATATTTGTTGAAAACGATAATAATTATAAATGGTCTACCTCAGACTTGTGAAGAGATCCACTGTTTGGCATTAAGTGTCACATTCTGACCATAAAGATAAGTTTAACCACATAATTAACCATCTGGTTTCTTCAATTTTCACTCAGGAGCAAAAATCAGCCTTTAATCTTGTAAGAAATAACGATTTGACATATATATATATATATATATATATATATATATATATATATATATATAGTGATAATTATCAATATGATATGAAATGTTTTTATAGTGATAACATTTTTTTTATCGCCCAGCCCTAAACCCACAAGAGCTGCAGTTTTGGAGATGCTCAGACCCAGTAATCTAGCCATCACAATTAGGCCCTTGTCAAAGTGGCACAAATCCTTACGCTTGCCCATTTTTCCTGCTTCTAACTCATCAACTTTGAGGATGAAATATTCACTTGTTGGCTTATTTATCCCACTGACATGTGCCATGGTAACAGGCTATTCAGTGTTATTCACTTCTCCTGTCAGTGGTCAAAATGTTATGGCTGATCGGTATATTCATCATGCACTACTGTCAGGGAAGCATCTGATTGGCCCCACTTTTATTCTGCAGCATGACAATGACCCCAAACACACAGTGAAAATCATTAAAAACTATCTTCAGTGTAGAGAAGAACAAGGAGTCCTGGATATGATGGTAGTAATAGTAGTAGTAATAGTGATTTGATTTAGATTTTTCTTCTGTTCACTCACTTTGTAGTTTGTTAATTAATAAATAACAATCTATTAACATGTCTGTTTTTGAAAGCATTCTTACTTTATTGCATTTATTCCACACCTGCTTAAAACGTTTGCATGATACTATCTCTTTTTACTTAGCATGATTTCTTTTTATATATTGTTTGAGCATTGTCGAAGGGAGTATTGACAATGAGCTTCATTATTATTGTTGTGCATTTGACAGTAAAGAACTTGATATATATGCCTCATGGGTCTTGTTAACCATGGTCTGTCTCCTCATTTCGCCTCAGATAGACCAACAGGTAACCTTCCTGACAGAAGCCTATCAGCTAACAGAGGAGAACAGCCGACTGCGTTTCCTTGTCTGCTCTCTGCTCAAGGACATTGCTGCTGCTTATTTCCCAGAATGCAACATCAAGCCGTTTGGCTCATCAGTGAACGGCTTTGGAAAACTGGGCAGTGACCTGGACATGTTTCTGGACCTCGATGGCATCAGTGGGAGAAACACAAAGATGGTAATAATGGGAGTTTGGGGTTGTCCTTTAGTAGGTGTCTTTAGACTAAATAAGATTAATATGTGAATACCAAAGCCACCAGCTACAGGGGATGGTTACTTTTATTTTGTCAAACGTAACATTTTCACTTTACAAAATATAAAGTTGTGCTTGATAAAACACAGGAAACACATCTTCCATGAAAAATATAAATAAGTTTTTTGGTACTTGGTAATACTGATTTGGATCGCATAGAGCTGGGCAAAATAAAGCACCTCTCTCCACTTCACACAGCTAAGCCTTTCTGAAAAAGTGAAACAGCTACCAACTTGCCATTTGAGTTTTGTGAGTACTGAGTTCTTCAGAGTGAAACTGAAGACTGCTGGGGCAAAGACCAAAAAAACAAACTTCTGATGTATTTGGCTGCTTTGCATCAAAGCTTTTCTTTGAAATTCTTTTGAGGCATTTACTTTTTTTGAGAAATTTAATTAGTGCTGCCTAGAATCACATTTATGTAGAGGTGTGTATATGTGTGTGTATTTGTATGTGTATATACACTATATTGCCAAAAGAATTGGGACACCCCTCCAAATTGCTGAATTCAGGTGTTCCAATCACTTCCATGTCCACAGGCGTATAAAATCAAGCACCTAGGCATGCAGACCGCATCTACAAACATTTGTGAAAGAATGGGTCGCTCTCAGGAGCACAGTGACTTCAAGCGGGGTACAGTGGATAGGTTGCCACCTGCGCAAGTCCATTCATGTAATTTCCTCACTTGTAAATATTCCACCATCAACTGTTGTTATTATGCTGGTATTATAACAAAGTGGAAGCGATTGGGAACAACAGAAACTTAGCCAGAAAGTGGTAGGCCACATAAAATCACAGAGCATGGTCAGCTCATGCTGAGGCGCACAGTGCACAGAAGTCGCCAACTTTCAGTCAATAGCTACAGACGCTGTGTGGCCTTCGGATTGGCTCAAGAACAGTGCGTAGAGAGCCTCATGGAATGGGTTTCCATGGCCGAGCAGCTGCATCCAAGCCTTACATCACCAAGTGCAATGCAAAGCGTTGGATGCAGTGGTGTAAAGCATGCAGCCACTGGACACAAGAGCAGTGGAGATGTGTTCTGTGGAGAGACGAATCATGCTTCTCTGTCTGTTTGGCAGTTTCTGGCAGTTTCCTTTGTGGGAACAGTTTGGGTATGGCCCCTTCCTGTTTCAACATGACTGTGCACCAGTGCACAAAGCAAGGTCCATAGAGACATGGAGAACGAGTTCGGTGTGGAGAACTTGACTGGCCTGCACAGAGTCCTGACCCCAACCTGATAGAACACCTTTGGGATGAATTAGAGTGGAGACTGCGAGCCAGGCCTTCTCGTCCAACATCTGTGCCTGACCTCACAAATGTGCTTCTAGAAGAATGGTCAAAAATTCCCATGAACACACACCTAAACCTTGTAGATAGCCTTCCCAGAAGAGTTGAAGCTGTTATAGCTGCAAAGAGTGGGCCAAGTCCATATTAAAGCTAACAGATTAAGAATGGGATGACATTAACCTTCATGTGCATGTAAAGCTTATATATATATATATATATATATATATACTGTATGTGTGTATGTTGTCTCATGTATGTGATCAGTTACTGTTTTAAAACTCTTGGATTACCAAAGTGGAGCATTTTTTGAGAGACCAATAGTGGACAGTAGTTTTTCATTCCATTATGGGAACTTTGGAGGACACATTATAGTGCATAGAGTGCATTAAGAATCTGTAAACCCAAATAAAATGCGCTTAAGCAAGTATAGTGCATTAAGTAACACATGGAGAGTGATTAAGGATCATTAAACATGTCTAAACTCTGTGTGTGCAGCCAAAATCAGGTTTGTCTCTGGAGTACCAGATGAAGAGGGCCAACTCCGAGCGGGCTGTCACCCAGAGCACCCTGTCAGTCATTGGGGAGTGTGTGGACCAGTTTGGACCTGGGTGTGTAGGGGTGCAGAAGATTCTCAACGCACGATGCCCCTTGGTCCGTTTCGCCCACCAGCCCTCTGGTTTTCAGTGTGACCTCACAGCCAATAACAGGTATTTACCCTGTGCACATACATTATAAGAGCATGACCTATTTACGATACATTAACAGTATGAACAATTATTTGTCATGGCTCTCTGGTGTTGCAGTGAAAAAATGTGTCATTCAGTTGGAAGGGTCACGTTTCGAAATGTCAATTGGAGTTGGTCATAGCCCTCTTGCTTCACAGAAACTGCTAGTTTTTTGTTGTGTCCTGAATATGGTTTTGGCCACACTGGTGGTGCAAAAGTCCCAAACAGACACCAGACTCTGGCAGGAAGTGCTGTGATGCTTCAGTTGCACACTTGCCACCGTGAAACTGAACAGGAAAGCCAAGGAGGGGGCTTGTTTGTGTTTCACTTCTTCTCTTCCAACCTCAAAGAGATTGTGGTCTCTGCTGATGGTACAATACAAACATGTACACACCTGCTAACGTACAGAAAACCACACTGCACCCTCTGTGGGTGGATTTGAGGGGGACTTTTCTTAAATCTTGATCTGAGATCTTTGAAGCGCAGCACTTTCCTGCCTGTGTGTGTCAAAGAAACTGTAAACTAACAGCAGTGTGACTGAGGCAGTGCAACAAGCTGAACACTGCTCTCTAGTGGTGGTTTTACTATGCTTTTAGTTTCACTGACCCCTGACTTGTTTTTGTTTTAGAAATATATGCTATACAAAACAATAGTGGGATCCATACCTTATAGGGAAATGCATGTATTTGTAATGATGTATTTAACACAAACAATACGCGTTATTCATAAGGAAACTAAAACACGTAATAATCAGAAGGTAGCCACTAATATTATGACTGTCATCCAAGAAAAAGAACCAGCCAAAAGTGAAAAAGTCATACATATGAATATATTACAAGTAGATCATGTGCATTTTAAATTAAACATGTTACATCTAACTGCTCATGAAGCCCATGCAGGGACATTGTGCCCAGGCTACATATCCAAGAGAACATTACAGAAACACAGTTGCTGTGTGGCAGTATGTCCTATTTGGCTGTCCCAGAGCAGGTCACTCAATTTATAATATATATTTAAAAAATATAAAGTGTTAATATTCACCTAGTTTAGTGTACTGACTGCACTTACATTGGACGTCTCCACACTCCCAACGCTGAAATGAACAGACTTAATAAAGCCCCATCAAAACATGCACAGCAGAGAGTAGTAATTCTGTATGATCTCCACAGGGTGGCCATGAAGAGCACAGAGCTACTGTACCTGTACGGAGTGCTGGACCCGCGCGTGCGTTTCCTGGTGTTCACTGTGCGCTGTTGGGCTCGAGCCCATGGCATCACCAGCGGCATTCCCGGGGCCTGGATCACCAACTTCTCCCTCACTGTCATGGTGCTCTTCTTCCTGCAGAGGAGGAGCCCTCCCATTATCCCTACCTTGGACCACCTCAGAGACCTTGCAGGTAACACCCAGCACCTCTTTTCACTCAGGAGATACCTTGTCAATTTACTCAGAGTAAACTTTACTTTGTTACTTTTTTAACTTCCTGAAATAATTTCTTTATACAGATTTAATATCTATAGGCTACTTATTATACTTATTTAATTAAATTGCAGTATTTGATGCAATCAGCACTTTTGATTGTAGTTTGACAGATACTTTGCCAAACCAATGGTGCAAAACAACATTTTAAACCTTTTATGTAGTAATAAGAAGTTTTGAGAATGTTTTCGCTTCATTAGGTGGAACAGATTATCAGACTATGGCGGGCCACACTGGACTGGGAAAATGGGGAACACAGGACTGTATATGAAGTCATAATACTATTTACATTAAAACAGGTGGTAATCATAAACGTTAGCATTATTAAAGAAAATAGTCACCAGCAGGTTGGCAAATTTGAGCAAAGCTAATGGGGGAGCCAGGGGGAGCTTGGCTCCTTTTAATAAGACGTGAGCTCCCCTGAAAACATGATTATTGAAATTTTGGGGCACTCTAAAATGTTGACAATGTTGACCGTTTCCTCTCTGGTAGACCTACTATCGGTTGTGTCGGTAGTAGTACAGGCGCTCTGCGGACTGTTGGTGGTCGTTCCTTCTGGCTGGATGAAGTCGGACGCTCCTGATTTTAAGCATGATCCATGTCCTACTGCAGCTGGAGGCTCTCCACAGGGCCGAACAACTTTCTAAATTATACCTTCTCACAGAAAAAATGAAAGGTCAGGTTAAAACAGTGTGGAGAGGCTGCCGCAGCTGTTGTGTGGTGCCTAATTGTAGTAAAATGGCTGCAAATAAAAATAAGAATAAACTATACATGATGCTTTCACATTCAGCACTAGGCCTACATGCTAGCAGCTATGGATGTTTCTTTGCGAGAGTCAGTCAGTCCTCTCTGTGAGGCACGCACAAACACCGTTTTTTTTTTTAATGGATGTGATTTAAAATGTAGCGAAATACAATACTTCAAACAAGTAAACAAAGTAAAAGTAAAATTACAGATCTTAAAAACTTAAAACTACTTTAAAAAGTACACAAGAGAACTACTTAATTATAGTAACGGGAGTTACTTTCCACCTCTGATTGTCATGCACTTTAATTCACCCTGAATTATTATTATTTTTTATGATCAACCTTTTATTGTTTTTTTATTTTTTTCTGCATCCTTAAAAGACACACTGTGATGGTCTGGCATGACATGGTCTCAATGACATACGGCAACACATGCACTGCATCTTCCCTCATCACAGAACGTCCCACAATAGTGACATTTACTGACCCAGCCCCTCCCCCATAACCTCAGAACTAAAATAAAAGCTGGCATTAGGATTGGGGCGATATGACGAAATAAATACCATGAGGTTATGCAAATGTTTCTACCATAGCAGAGTTTGCTCTATAGTTTATACCGTAGTATTTATTTCCTTAATATATGTGTATTAGATTGTTGTGGGCAATGATAGAAGCAATAAGTCTGTTGACTTGTAATATTGGATTTTTATATGAGTTTTGCATCAGTATAATAAAGTACCTATTTTTCAGGTATTTAATTCAGCAGGTTAAAACAGAGACCTCTCTCATTATTGTATCCATAAACATTTTCTACAAAACTAGACTATCATTATTGTGGTATAAAATGAGGTATACTGTGATAGAGGATTAATCCATGAAACAAACATGAAAAGCAGAGGAAACAAACATCAACAAAACACTCATATATTGGTTTACATACTGTAGAACGAATGAATGGTTAAAATGAATTAATGGCGTGTTGTTTTGCACCATGCATCCAACTTATTGAGGTTTCCACAGAACATATATCAAGAACTTTCTTTACCTGTCCATGACTTCATAAATATAACTGCAGCCTTGGTACCAACCTAGAGTACCAGTACAGTGTCCGTAGGTGTTTTATTGTATTCCTATAATCCCAGTGGTTTCTAATTTGACTCTATAAATGACTTAAGAGCATACTTAATGTTTTTATTAGCATGTGTACATTTGTAATGAACGTGTCCTGTGATAACGTAGCCACCAGTCCCCCTGCAGCTCCTCCATCTCTGTCTGTCTCTCTCTCTCTGTCACCTTGGCTGCCTGATAATTGCCTTCCAACCCCCCCCCCCCCCCCCCCCCCCCCCCCCGTTTTGCGCAAACTCTATCACAAAAACTGCTTACAGGACAATAAAGAGCCCATCACTCTGGGAAGGTCAGTGACCCCTCCGGACACACTCACGAGCATACAGGCAGCTACACACTCCACCTCCACCTCTACCAGCCTCATCGTAGTGAAGGAGATTGGTGACAAGGGCACTGCTGGATAAGTAAACCAGCCAAGCAAAGCCATGAACCATGCTCTCTTCTTTGTTTTGTTTGACCACTTTTGTACACACATAGATACACCTGCTGTCTGTCCTTCCCCCTGAGTCTTTCTGTTTCCTTTCCATGGATGCACCGACACCATCCGTCTGTGTCTTGTTTATGGCCATTGTTGTTGTCATTTACCTTGTATCCCTGCTGTCGTCCCACAAGGTCCTGCGGACAAGAGCGTGATTGAGGGGAATGACTGCACGTTTGTCAGCGACATCAGCAAGATCCAGCTCCAGAGCAACACAGAAACACTAGGTGAGTGTAGAATCAGGGCTGTAGGGCTACATTTCAGTTTGATTGATACCAGTTTTTCTGTTAGCAGCTAACTTGACTTGTCTTGTTTTGTCTCAGAGAAACTGCTGTATGAATTTTTTGAGTTCTACGCCACTTTTGCGTTCAACAAGATGTCCATATCTATCAGAAAGGTATGTATGATTATTCAAAAGCAGAAAGTCCTTTCAAAAGAAAAGAATGTGCCCAATGATGACCGTTATCTTTTGATTATTTGACTAATCTTAAAGCTTTTTATAATAACAGTGTATCACATGACAATCTAAAAACAATGTGAGGCTTGTAGCGAACCTACAAAGAATTGTCACCTGAATCTGCAGCTCCCCTCGGCTTTGAGTGCCAGCTTATTGTGTAGCTGTCCGTCAACTTTACTGTTCAGTCTTACCACTCTCATAGCGTAATTTTCAGCTCCAGTGGGCAGCTGTTTTCAGTGATTACACTTTACTCTACCTGCTCAGCACCAAACCGCAAACAGACACAGTTAGCGATGAGCTGGTGACCATAGTGGAGCATTCAGCAGCTAGAGAGCCTGATATTTCTGTAGGGAGTTGGTGGAACAGAACTAAAAGAAGCTTAATATAATCTCGTATTCATACAGAAATGTTTAATAAACTAGGAGACAGTAATAGAGCTAATTTTAATTTGTTGATAGTCCTTAGAAAAGATTTTCTCCTTATGGTGCAGGAGAGCCAGTTTTCTCTGTAAGTTTCATGCTCATAACCAAAGCTGCGCAATTGGCCAGGCCAATATCGGCAAATATTAGCTTACAGATAGCACTGACTATTCTTTAAAATAACAAATTTAAGTAATTTATGTAAAAATAATCATATTTTTGTAACTCCCAAATACCTTTATTGCTTACTGCCTACAGTACCAGTCAGGCTCTACTCATAAAATGGTCTGTCCAGCCCTCAGGCCATCATGCTACTTAGATGGCTTCTAATCTGAATTGAGAATCAAACCATTGCATCACTGACACCAGAATATAAAGAAGAATTCAGCCTCCTTTCAACTTCCCCTCTCAGCCCCAGAGCTGAGTTCCAGGAAAGAAATCTGTTGGTAATAAACAGTGTTTTGTGGATGGCGTCTTCCCACACACAGAAGACAGCTGTCCTTGTCATATGTGATTGATGCCGGCCCCATGGGGCCCGGCGCCCTTGAGCTGGGATCCCAATTAGAAGCTCCACCAGGCTAAGTGTAAATAAACACACATTTATTCTATTTAGACCTGTATCCAGCCTGTCGTTGCCTGTTTGTGCCTGTATAATATTTTTCATAGCCACCAAAAGCGTATCCATAGTGAAACTGAGTTTTTATAAATAAAATGGAGAAGAAAGATGAAAACGGGCTGGAAATCTGTTTCCAAGTCATGTATGAAACGGAATATCAGGGTTATTTTTTTCTCTCTGTACAGGATAGTTAATAATATGTAATGTATTGCTTATTGCTTTTGCCTCTAGAAATTTAGTTGATAAAGGAGTTGTTCATGCTTGGGTGGCACATTATATGAGATGCAGGGACTTTGCCAGTGCTCGGAGTTTAATGAATTGATGTCTCTGGGAAAGACAGACCCTGCGGCCTAATATATGAGACTAATATCAGGTTTGACACGGCAGAGGAAACCTGCAGGTAGACTGTGGCCGTGACCCATGCCAATAGGCTTTCACTAGTGGAGCAACAGCCATAAATCTGCTTTACTGTGTTAGAATTCTTTGGTTCGCTCCCCTCCTCTGACTGATGGCTTTATGTTGCCATCTTCTGTCTCTCCCACCCCCCACCCCCCTACAGCTCTATCCCTTTATACCTTCTGCCACTTTACTGTCAGGTTTTAGGCAGTAGTATGGCATGCAAAGTACCATGGAAGGTTCTTGACTTCTCTCTGACCCACATATTGATGCTTCATTTGATGGCCTAGACTGCTAGATAGAAGTACAGATCACATGCTTCCATTGCTAACACATCCGATGTGCATAGCAGGTTTTCATATCAGTCTACCTCATTTTTGCCTTTTCCAAATTCTTGTTCCTTTTCACGACTCAAGTCAAAATGTCTTCCAGAGCCATGTCCATGTGTCTCCCTCTCCCATCTGTAGCCTGTGGAGAGGTATTCCAGTCAGCTATAAGTGCCCCAGATACAGCAGCAGAGAGCTAAAACCATGACCAACAAGATAGATGGACCATAACATACAGTACATACGGGCCTTATGGCTGCGGCTACTCAGGAATGTGTTTTCATCTGCCAGCGTTGTCCCCTTTCCTCTCTCCAGGGCAAAGAGCAGAACAAGCCGGAGGTAGCCCCACTGCACATCCAGAACCCGTTTGAAACCTCTCTGAACGTCAGCAAGAACGTCAACGCCACACAGCTAGAGCGCTTTGTGGCTTTGTGTCAGGAGAGCTCCTGGCTGCTCCAGCAGAGTGAAACCAACACACCCGGAAGTGGAAATAAAGGCAACACTCCCACACCTTGGGGACTGGCTACCCTCCTCCTGCCCTCCCAGGTTGCAGGGATCAAAAGTCGCAAGAAAAGAAGACGGGAGCCGGCCAGTGAGAGGATCAAGAGCTTGCTGGAATCCTTGAAGAATAACAATCAGCAAAAGAAAAGCTAAGACGCTTAGGAGATCTCAGAACTCAACTCCATCCTCTTACCATTACTTTAACTCATTCATTGTTGGACACCTACTGGTGTTAATGTCTTGATACTCTCTGAGGTGGTGTTGAGTTCTTTGCAGTGGAATATATATGCTGGACTCTAATTCCAAACATGGACACTGGAGGGTGTTACTGAGGCCTCTATGTGCATATGTTTGGGACCTGGGATAAGGGAGTGATTACTGGGTACTTTAATGTAGACTTAACCTAGTCTGTTGTAATTAAAGCCAGTATTATGGAAACTGATGTCCCGCCAGATTCTCATGTAGGAGCTAAGACTGTAGATTCACAGGTTATTCAAAATCTGTTATTATTTTCACTGATACGCAACATAATCTGAAACACACGTCAGACAAAATCACTGGAGGTTGGCCTATAGATATCATTTTTGTATTAATTTTAAATTAGCCCACAGATGGAATAATAAGCTTTTATTGCAAACTGAAAAACTGGGTTTGCTTATTACGGCGCTTGAAAACTGACAGAAAGCAGTAAATGGGTATCAGATGCATCAAAATTATAACTGAATACAGGACTCTACAGTAACTTTTAAAAGTAAATGCCAGGCTCTCAACCAAGTATTAGCTTTTGGTTGCTGAAACTAAAAATCGGGTTGCCATTTTGTGTCAGCTTATATTTTGAGTAATTAAGCTATTATGCAGTCATACCAGATCATCTTAATAATGAAAATGTGACCTAAAAGAATGTTTAAAAGCTTTTATTACAGTAACCAAATAAAAATCTAGCTTGTGTGTTATCTGATAGTGTTATCAGTAAACATGTCCACCTTCCTGGTATACAAAATGTCAGCATTCGTGATGTTGACTGGTTAGTTGAACTTTTCAACCCACAGTCAAACAACTTAATTTACTTCACCATTGTCTTGTAAAACAGATACCTGTGCGCACACACACTGGTAAATAAATGCACCACCTTTGATTCATGTTCTGACTGTAACAGCAATTTAAAATATCACTAATGCATCATTATTAAGAAATTATTTATTTTGCGGTGCACGTTTTGCTGTTTGCTGACCCTATTCTTTATATGTTTAAAAAGTTACCAGTGGCAACCACTTTTTAACATTGTAACACTGGTTGCCAATTTCTCAAAATGGTTGTCTTTAATCTCTAACTAGTTGGTAAAGAAAGAGAAAAGCTTTTTATTGTTTTCTTTTACCTGCAATAACTTGATAAAATACATCACTGCCTTATTTTCACTCTGTTTATCTCTGACTAGCTTATTTTATTGTTTAACTCTCAATGTAGAATATCATACTACAGCAATTACAGGTCTTAGTGGCATGTTCGCTTTCCTGAAAACACTGTTAGCTACGCACACCGAGCACCAGCCTTTTGACCTATAGCTACCCAGCTGAAGCTGACTTTCATCATAAATCTAGACTAGAGCAAGTAAAACCTAAACTACAGTAACATGACTTTATATAGGTACACATTGCATTATAGAATATTATGGAATTTAGATTCAGCTAGGTGCAGTAGCTAATTGGAAAGGCTGGTTCTCGGTGTGTTTAGCTAGCCACACAGTTGTTTGTAGTTCCATTGACTAGTCTGATGCATTTGTGTTTCTTGGGTAAACTACCAAAAACACAGCTGGGACTATGACCTGGATAACTGACAACCTTCACATACTTATTACCAAAAACACAGGAAATTTAAGTAGTTAAAAAGTAAAATGAGGTAGTGACAGATAAATAGAAGGGTAAAATTTAATCAGCTTAAAAAGGAAAACAAATTTCTTTTTTTACCGACTAATTGGTAAAGGAAAAGTATAAAGCTTTATATTTCTTTTTACACATCATTTAAACTATTTAACTAATAGTATTGTTAGAGTGTATTCACTTCTGTTTTTGATTTGTCTGATAACCTTTTAATACCCGCTGTCCCTTTTTGGGGTGCTAGGGGCTTTTTAAATGAAACCGTACAAAGAACACTCAGCACTTTCTCAAATGGTACATCTGGATTAAAGTTTTTTGAAGCGAATGGACTAAAACAGTGACATAATTGTGCTACCGTGTGTTTAATTTATATGGAAGTAGATAGCCCATCAACTTGGTCACCCAGGTCATTGGAACCAAAGTCAGCCAGCTTTGTGGTGAAGTCTGTAGAATGGATTGATCCCTCTGAAAAGCCACTGGTCGATATGTCATGTTAAATCTGGGAAAAGAGACTTGTCATTTTAACTCTTCTTAATTCAGTTTCCAGCTTACAGTGCCTGTGTCCACTAATCATTTAGCTCGAAATGTGGTCCAAAACAAAATTGGTAAAAAGGTCACAGATCCCGCTGTCAACCGCTTTTACCAGAGTTTGTAACGTGGACAATCGGGATTTACAGTGACAACTGTATCTAAGGTTAAAGGGTTAGTCCCGTTAAGCCCCCGACATACTTGCTTTTTAACAATGCGTAGGCGATGCATTTACACTGATTGTGTTTTTTCAGAGTGTATGTGTGACTGTGAAATAGGGGAATGAGAAAAGACCATAGGGTGCATGTGTTAAGAGTGCATCTGCAGGTTCACATCCTATGAGTGTGCCAGAGTGTGTTTGTATGTCTGTGCTTCAGGCCCAAGGGACAGCATTTGAGGAGCGGGGAGTGTGTAGCACACAGCTGTTTTTCTATTCATTGAAGTGGGAGGTCAGGAGGGTGAGAGGATAGACTTTTAACTACCTCCCCCCTACCTCCTTCCACCCATCCACCCTCTGCCACCGGGCCATGGCACAGATGGGAGTGAGGCAGCCTCACACACCCCTTGTTTTGAACTTCACTCACTCCTTTCTCTTTCAAATTCAACGTGCCTCTCTTTCTATCTCAGTCTTCCTTTTACTCTCAGAGTGGCAGCGGTGTTTGAGGTTTGCAGAGTTTTTTTATTTCCGTGAGTAAGTTTCTGAATGATGGGTCTGCTCTAGTGGAGCAACAGAGTGGTTTTGAAACACGGTGGTTAGAGACGCATTGGATGGGGAAATCAACACCTCTGGAGAATTTGAATTGAAAGAGATAGACGTCAGCACCGTTATTCTTCTGATTTGTAGAAGTATTTTATAGACCCCTCTTTGATGGGACTCTCCTATTGAACAGTTTATGGGGTAATTATAGGGATAGATAGAAACTGTGGCCACTTACCAAAACGCTGCCACAGGACAAGGTTAATCATGTTTTTTTCTGGCTTTTCCTAACCATTGTTAAGGTTTTATGTGACAGTCTCCTAGTGATAGAGCACTTAAGTCTGCAAAGGGACCAAGGTTGTGTTTTGCTAACCTGCCCAACAGTGACCTTCCTCCTTAGTGGTTGCAGGCGGCACACCGTGGGCTCTGATTTATTGGGAAAACTGGCGAAAAGTCCAAGATGGATTGGCCTTCTCTCAGGAAGTCCAGAGGTTCAGTGGGGCGATGGCCAGAGTTTATGTTGCTGCCTTTTTCTTTGCTCCTAATGCGCATTCAGAGCCTGAAAGAATGTTAAAAGGTGCCCCGAGGGTTTGAAAACATGGGAGAGAGGAAAAGTTGGGAAAACAACAAGAAATGAAAAAGATCTCTGCATGCATTTTAGAATGAATGCCCTCTAAAAAAAAAAAATCTAATTGTGAGTAGCTTCTTTCACAGAATGCTGTTGGCATTTGAGGAAAAGGGTTTTGCTCCTGGAGAACATGGTGTTTGATGTGGAGGCCTTTTCAGTTGGGGCACTTTCGGAAGTTATCTTATCAAGCCATCTGATCATTACGCCACTCCTTCCACTTACCTCCACTGGCTCCACAAAGACCTGTGAACATAATCTCCAAAGCACTTCCCACCCGCAGTTCCATGAATTGTCCCCACAACACTGTGAGAAGTCATTACAGGACAAGTGTCCCGGGGGACTCTCAGCCTCCCACTTACTCCCAGGCTTCCCACTCATCAACACCACAGTTGGCTTTGCATAGTATGTGGTGAGATGCACTGGAATATACTTGCTACACAATGAAGACCTGAGGTTATCACTGTGTGTATCTCCAGCTGCAGAGTTTCTAAAGAAGCGTGTACTGGCTAAAAAATGTTACTGGAAACTACATTCAAGTGTCCTTAGTTCAAATGCAGCAGCCTGTATCTCCATGTCCCTCTACAATGAAATCATGAGGTAAAGTATTGGCAACCAACTCGATGTTTTTATGCACTGTGTTTATGCTGTATGGGAATGCATAATGAGACTTACTGTACCCACCAACAATTCCATTGTTTCAGTGTAGGACGCATGGCTGCCTAATTGGAGCCTGGCACAGAGTTACTGGCAACAAAAGTGTCAGCAACCATAGTGGTTTGCACATTCTTTCTCTCACTGGACAGTAGAGAGGCTACATCTATTCAGTACTGGCCAGATTGGGTCCCCGTTGATTGGGCAGTGACTGCATGCTGTGATGGAAGATGAACTGTCACATGGGTATACCACAAGCACACTGCCATTGTACCACTCCGATCGGTACAGGAAACATATCCAGCTCATCCACAGCGCTCCACCAAGCTGTCCTGGGTGCCTTTACGTCTTGACTGGAGAATGCGTGTGTTACGCCACATTTATACATGTAACATAGGTCCCCAAATCTCAGGCTGCTGCATTTATACCATCATGTGTGCTTTTTGTTTGGTCAAAGCTGCCACTGTGCATGAAGAGGCTGAAACAGATTCAGGGAACAACAACAGGGAAAACAGGAAGGTCTCTTTGCTTACTTTACTCCTTTGATTCCCCATCTCCCACTCTATCCTTTTTTTAACACTTAGGGACTCTAACCCTATAGCCCTGGATATACTTGCTTTTAACTACACGTTCACGTACGCAAGATGGCTGCCACGCGTATCCTGCATTCCTTTCATAACCTCCTCAAGTGTCGCTATGTTTGGTTTGTTTATGATTGAATGATGATGAAATTATGATGAAAATTCTGAGGTTGTCAAGGAAGATATTCCGGTGTTGGCAAGGGATGATCCGGTCCTGGTGTACCCCCTAGTGAATTCAGGTTTAATCCTCTAGGTACACGCAAAGTACACAGGCAATGCCGTTTGCGTTGCCAACGTCTGGCTACGCCTATGCATTGTTAAAAAGCAAGTATGTCGGGGGCTTAAGGGGACTAACCCTTTAACCTTAGATACAGTGTAAATCCCGATTGTCCACGCTACAAACTCTGGTAAAAGTGGTTGACAGCGGGCTCTGTCAACAAGTTAACAGTGGAGAAAACAGGAACTCTAACCCTTGTAATTCTACAGCCGCTCTGTTAACTGAGGATCCGCCGTGTGGGATGGGACAATGAAAAGAGCACTCCAAGCTTCTTAAATAGTGTTCACTGAAAATCTAAAAACAAAGAAAAAGAAAACAAGATAGTTAAAGTTACAGTGTAGTGTAAGTTATCAATCTACAGCCTTAAATTTGATTTAATTAAAGGCTGTGATAAAAAGAAAAGTCTTGCTGGAAATGCTTTATTTTTCAAGTATGTAATTTCCTAATAATTTCCAAGGAAAGAACAAAGTCATTTGTTTTAGGTTAGCATTACTAAGTTCATAAGGGGTTGTTGGTTGTAGCCATTTGCCATTTTGCACGTCAGCCTCAGGATTGCTCAATTCTAACTAATTAAATAATTTTTTATCCAAACTTCCTTCATTTGCAAAACATATGAAAACAAAGTCATGAAAATGAACTGATATAGGACCTTCAAATGTACTGTTGTAATCCTCAGTCAGTTTAACAAATGAGGAGAGCCCAGTGTGTAGGATATGGACACTGTACTGAGCACCAGGCCTTTGTCCAGAATGTTTGGCCATCTGTGGGCGGCCCCTGAAGGAGGTAACAGGCAAGGCTATTCCAAGAACAGTAGGACTGGAAAGGGGGCTGAGGGTACAGTGTTGAGGCAGAAGAGATAATAATATTGGCTCTGTGCTTGGGGGTTGATCACTAACATCCCCCTCTCACTCCTCATCCTCATGAGCCAGATTTCTCCTCCCTTTTCTATAAGAGCTTAATCTACAGTCTGCACCCCTGTCAGAGAGGGACCTTATCAGCTGCGTCAGCTCCAGCCTTGGCTCCCTTCACTGGACAGACCTGGCTGAGTAGATACACGCTCATATGGATACGCATATGCACAGCCACAAGGCTAGTTCAAGTTCACACTCAGCACTGAAAGGACAGCAGTGTTTTAGGGGGAATAGATTCAGAAGTTATGAAAGCAACTGAATAAATAACAGTGTCAGCAATAGATTGCTGAACAGTTTATAGTGCTGGTTCTTAGTCTGTGAGCGGATCACTCGAAGACTGATGTTCCAGTTTAGGGGTAAAAATCTTCAGCATGCTGTTTGCTCTTTGAAAACAAGACATTTATTTTGTAGCATTAATGTTTTTAGCCATGCTAGCAGCATGGGTCTATAGATGGCAATGTTGGTCTGTCGGTTGGTCCATCCCTGACATAGCTCAACAACTATTGTATAGATTACCATGAAATTTTGAACAGACATTCATGGTTCCCAAACAATCAATCCTGATGCTTTTGGTGATTTCCCTTTTACTCTAGTGCCATCATCAGGCACTAATTCACTTTGTCTAATACTTTGGTTTATGACCAAATATCAGCCTCAGTTGTACCTTGTGTTTTGTGCTAATAAGTAAATGTTAGCATTCTATATAAACTAAGATGATGAACATAGTTAACATTACATTTGCTAAACATCACCATGTTGGCATGATGAAATTAGCATTGAGCTCAAAGCATTGCATTGTCTCACAGAGCTGTTAGCATGGCTGTAGACCTTTTACACTGCGTTCACACAGATACAAAGTGATATCTTGCTTGTCATAGGTTTGTTTGTGTGTTGGTTGAACATGTAATTTACATCCTCTATTCCTTATCATTGCGGACCTGTATCTGTGCTGGAAACAAATCTGTTTCTGTGGGCATTAAAACACGTCTGATTGTTGTTAGCATTGCCTTGGAGGACAGTTGCACTAAGTTGAGCGTTTCTCAACTTTACTCTGTTAGAGGACGTTGC